AATCCAAGAATTTCACCTCTGACAATTGAATACTGATGCCCCCGACTGTCCCTATTAATCATTACGGCGGTCCTAGAAACCAACAAAATAGAACCACACGTCCTATTCTATTATTCCATGCTAATGTATTCGAGCATAGGCCTTCTTTAAGCGATCTAATTTGTTCAGAGTAAAAGTCCTGGTTCCCCGGCACACCCAGTGAAGGGCATGCGGTTCTCCAGAAGGAAAGACCCAGCCGAGCCAGTGCACGCGGTGAGGCGGACCGGCCGGCTAGGCCCAAGGTTCAACTACGAGCTTTTTAACCTCAACAACTTTAATATACGCTATTGGAGCTGGAATTACCGCGGCTGCTGGCACCAGACTTGCCCTCCAATTGTTCCTCGTTAAGGGATTTAAATTGTACTCATTCCAATTACAAGACCCAAAAGAGCCCTGTATCAGTATTTATTGTCACTACCTCCCCGTGTCGGGATTGGGTAATTTGCGCGCCTGCTGCCTTCCTTGGATGTAGTAGCCGTTTCTCAGGCTCCTTCTCCGGGGTCGAGCCCTAACCCTCCGTTACCCGTTGTCACCACGGCTGGCCAAGACCCAGCCGTCGAAAGTTGATAGGGCAGAAATTTGAATGAACCATCGCCGGCGCAAGGCCGTGCGATTCGAGAAGTTATTATGAATCACCAGAGAGCCCCGAAGGGCATTGGTTTTTAATCTAATAAATACATCCCTTCCGAAGTCGGGATTTTTAGCATGTATTAGCTCTAGAATTACCACGGTTATCCATGTAGTAAGGTACTATCAAATAAACGATAACTGATTTAATGAGCCATTCGCAGTTTCGCTGTATAATTGCTTATACTTAGACATGCATGGCTTAATCTTTGAGACAAGCATATGACTACTGGCAGAATCAACCAGGTAACTATCGTGGTGCCGGTGAGGGCGAGCCCGCCCGTGTTTCAGGGCGGGGGAGTCCACTAAATTACAGGGTCCGCAGGCGCTAGCGCCCGCGTGACCGCGCTGCTCGGCCGGCGTTGCGCCGGGCTCGCAGCGGGCCACATCTGCTTTCCTCTCCCGCGTTCCCCAGGGCGCCTTCGGCGGGCGAGGTCGGGGGGCTGTCGCGCCCCGAGATCACCGCCTAAGCGCCCCAAGAGGAGGCCCGACCAGAAGGTTCAGCGCTGAACGCGTCCCCAGCTGGTAGGTACCCCCGAAGGCTATAAGAACAGGTGTGGCGAACCGCCAGTCACCCACAGAGCCCGAAACCTCGGCGCGCTTGGGGTACTCCCTCGCGCCATAGGTCTTCCTAGATGCCGCGGCGAACGAACGCTGCGGTGCTAGGGTGGTGTTCGCCGCAATCGTCGGTACCCCGGCAGACCGTAGGGCACCACGCGAAGGCGGCGATGTTCGAAATGGAACGGAAAACAACCTGCGAAGGCTGCCGCGGAGAGGCGCCGAGGCCCTGAAGGCGCCCGACGTCCCCCCCGCAGGAGCTTGCAACCCTCCTCTCTCACATACCCACCGACCAGGGCGCAGTGGGTCGCACGGGCCGGCGGGCTGTGGGGTGGATTTCCAAAGC